AAGAAGAATAGGCTCACAAGGTCACCAACGACAGCCCGGACAAGTGGAGCTACATACAGGCAGTGTGGGATCCGGAAATCTGCCAAGGGGCTAAGAGAAGACCGCACGTAATGGGCCTGTTTTCCACCACCACCACCATAAGTTGGAGGGGGAGGAGGTCCTCCTCCTCCTCCTCCTCCTCCTCCTCCTCCTCCTCCTCCTTCTCCTCCTCCTCCTCGTCCTCCCCCTCCTCGTCCTCCACCTCCTTCCCCCCTCCAGCTTGTGGTGGTGGTGGTGGCGGAAGACAGGCCCACCGGCACGGGCCGAGAACAAGATGGGCTGACGGCCTCTGACGGGCGACGGCCCCGCCGCCGTCCTCTTCGGGGGGCGCTCCCCGCGCAAGGCGCGGAACGCCGTCGGCGCTCGCCCCGCCTCGCCTCCGCGGCGCCCCCGCGGCGCCCCCGCCCGCGAGGGCACCGACGGCGCCTCGCAGCAGCGCGCAGCCAGCGCTGCGGCCACGTGGCACCCGGACCCCGCGCCGCCGACGACGACGCCGATGCCGACGCCGACGCCGACGCCGACGCCGACGCCGACGACGTCCGACGACGACGACGCCGACGACGACGACGACGACGACGACGACGACGTCGTCGACGACGACGACGACGACGACGACGACGTCGTCCGATGACGACGACGACGTTCGATGACGACGACGTCCGACGACGACGTCGCCGAGGCCGACGACGCCGACGACGACGACAATGACGACGACGATGCCGACGACAACGACGCCGCCGACGTCGATGTCCTCAACCGAGCGCCCTGGAGCCGAGTGGGTCGAGTGGCAGCTGGGCTCCAGCGAGGGAGACCAGAGGCTCGAGGTCGGACGATTTCGAAGGGTGCCTTCGGCTCCTGGAGGTTTCCCAGCCTCGGGCTGCATACCAGCAGACACGCCTCGCCGAGAGCGTCCCGGGGTTGCCCGGATCCTCCCGAACGGCCGCCAGAGGCCCGAGTCGGGGGGGTCGGGGGCCCCCAGACGGCGCGGTGGCCACACCGGGTGGCGAGTCCGTGGGGATTCGGGTTGGCCGCACGGTCTGGGGATCGGGGTCGTTCTCCGAGGACGCCTCGGGCGGCCGCGGCCTCGGAGGTCACCGAGCCGTGCGATGACGAAGCGTGCTCTCGCGCGCGCCGTGGGAGCGGGGTGCACTCAGAGGCTGCGCGGGCCATGCTCAAGAGGCCAGGAGGCCATTCGTACGATCCCGCCCTCATCGAATGTCGCCGATGCGACACCTGGTCGTCTGATACAAGTACTGGTGTCGCGACGACACCCGTGAGTTCCTGTTCTCTGTGCCCACGCTACGTCTTCTTCACAGATTTGCCCTCTCTCTCCTCCGCAACGGCCGCCTAAGCTCGACTGAAGCCCTGCGTGTGTTTCGCTGGAAGATTGTTTTCTCTTGCTCGCGCCCGTGCCTGATAAGCGGACGTATATGTTCAATCAGGCTGTCAGGCTGTCAGTCCCCCTCCCCCCTGCAGTCAGCCAGTCTACCTCCTGCAGGACAAGAAGTGACCATCCATCGTCGAGCCTCCTCTTCCTCATCCATCGTACGTCCTCTATGCCATGCGCCCTGCCAGCCGGTTGTCGGTTAGACTGTCAGCCAGTCAGTCAGTCAGTCAGTCAGTCAGCCCACCCCCCTGCAGGAAGACCACTCGCCATCCATTATCAGCCTTCCTCTTCCTCATCCATCATACGGGGGGGGGGGGGGGCGTTCGTTGAGAAATGTGTCCAGGAAGTTTCAGACCCTGAAGAATCCCTTGTCCGATGAATGCTGCAGTAATATCCGTGGCCAAGACCAGACCAGCTTCCAGACCCTGGAGCCCTGATACAATGGTTCCTTATTCAATGCCCTCACCCAGGACCTGGTGGTGCTGATGTTAACGATGGTTAACCACACGGGAAGGGTTGTTACTGTTGTCTTATGTTGTTTCTGCTTGTTCTTCTTATTATTTTTGTTCGTTATCGTCGTGTGTGCAAGTAAGCCTGCTTTCGCCGACCAGCTGAGATACAACAACACGCCCTCACAACAAGTCCTCCCCTTACTCCTCCGGCCGTCGGTCCACTATTCCTCCTCCCCGAGAGGCCCAGCTGGGGCCAGAGACGCCTCGAAGCCTCGATCCTCGATCCATCTGCTTCTTTGCATTGCTGTTATTATCAAAGACGCCTACGGCGAATCCTCGCCGCCCCCTGCCTTTCAGGATACGCCTATGTGGCAAAACGTTTGGGCAAAGTTTTGCCACGCTGTTGGGCCATGCGTTCCCCTAGCCGCTGTGGAAGCTCTGTGGGAGAGGAAGTGAGGATGAGGAGAGCGAGGAAGGAGGAAAATGACGAGAAGGATGAGGAGACCTCTTGGGAGCTTGGTCATTCTGTGGGAGAGGAAGTGAGGGTGAGGAGAGCGAGGAAGGAGGAGAATGACGAGAAGGATGAGGAGACCTCTTGGGAGCTTGGTCATTCTGGGGGACTCCTCGGAGCGTCCTGGGGGCCTCGTGGCGATTTCTTGGGGGCCTCCTCCGGCCGCTCGGGGCCTCCGGGGGCTTCTCTGGGGCTCTGTTGGCGTCTTGCAGCGTTCCTGGCCCCCCTGACTGCGTCGGAGGCCGTCTTGGGGGGCCGTCTTGGGGCCAACTTGGGTCGGGCCGGGCGAAAGGGGGGGATTGGGAAACGGGGGGGTTACGAAATTTGCTGCATGCAGCTGGTTTCGGCCCCACCGAGGGGCCCATTCCTCGATACATAGCCGCCTCCGGCGCTGGGAGGCGCCGGGAAAATCAGCTACGTGAGCTGATTCTCAAACCCCCCCTTTGCTATCCCCCCCTTTTGCCCGACCCGATTGGGGCGGTTCAGGGTCGTCTGGGAAGCCATATTGGGCGTTGTCGACGCCTTTTGGTCCGTCTTGGGGCCCTGTGGGGGTCGTCTTAGGAGCCTCTTCGGCTGTCTTGGGGTCATCTTGGGGGCCTCTCGGGCAATCTTGGGGTCATATTTGGGGCCGTCGGAAGGCCGTTGGAAAGCAACTGCCCAAATCCCAAACACACCGGAAGAACATCAATAATATTGGCCTCTCGGGGCCTTCCTGGAAGACCTCTTGGAGGCGTCTTGGACCGCTTGGGGGGCCTTTTGGGCGCTTCTTGGGCCGCCTTGGGTTCTCTTGGATCATCTTGGCGGTCTTGGAGGCATCTTGGGACCATCTTGGAGGCCGTCTTGGGCTCTCTTGGGGCCATATTGGCAGTTTGGGAAGCATTTGGGAGGCCTTCTTGGATCATCTCGGCCATCTTGGAGCCAATGAGCCGAAATTTGGAAGCTTTCCAGGTGGCTGGCGAGCTGGGTCGAGACCCCACGGAGATTTCCTCAGAGAAGAACCAAGGACCTGCCAGACTTTTCGGACGCCGGATACCCCTGTGGCAAAACCATGCAGTAGGGGGCAGCGGATCGAAGACGCCTACGGCGAATCACCGTCGCCCCTGTTTTTTGAAAGCGGATGAGAGGATGAGAGAGGAATAATGAGGAGGAGGAGGAGGAGGAGGCCTCCTGGGGCACTCGTATGTCTTCCTCGGAGTTTCCTTGGGGCCTCTTGGAGTTCTCGTGGGAGGGTTTCCTTGGGCCTCTTTGGGGGCCTCTGGAGACTCCCCGGCGTTCCTGGCCCGCCTGACGCCGTTTTGAGGCGTCTTGGGGGCCTCTCCGAACCGACGTGGGGCTCCTTGGGGCGCGCCTGGGCCGTATTGGAGACCATCTTGGGCGTCTTGGATGCCTCTTGGGTCGTCTTGGGGGCCGTCTTGGGGGCCTCTCAGGCCGTCATGGGACCATCGTAAAGGCCTCTTGGGCGATATGGGGACGATCGTAGGGGCCTCCTGGGCCGTCTTGGACCGTCGGAGTTGATTCAATATGCAAACGGCAGAATCCGCCCAAACAAACAAGCACACACATATACATGTACGCACACATATATATATATATATATACACACACGTATACACGATTGCATTGGCGCTTCACGCCATGCACCTTGGTCCTTGAAGTTTGGTACACAGGCGGAATGGCAGGAAGGTCAAGCCGTCAAATTAGCGACACTTGAGTTGGCATCGACGTTGTAAGAATGTGATTCGTTACCCTTCCTTCATGCTTCTTTTTTCTTTTTTCTCGCCGTACCCTGCGTGTTCTCCCCATCCTCCTCAGCTCTTTTTGCGTAGGCTCTTCCTCGGAGAGCCTCTGGTGGCATCACACAAGTTGTTCTGGCTTTTCTGAGGTCTTCTGGAGGCCTCCTGGGCGTCTTTTGGAATCATCTGGGGGCTTCCTCGGGCCACCCTGCCTCCAACCGCGGTCTCCCTGAACGACCGGGTCACGATTTGGAATGCTTCGGAGGGTTTCTTGGGGCCATCTTGGGCCGTCATGGGGCTCTTTTAGGCCATCTTGGAACCTTGTTGTGCCGTCTTGGGGTGCCTGGAAGCCTTGTCGGATGGTTGTAGGGTGATTTTCGAGTCTCCCAGGCGGCTCGGACGCCGAGAAGACCGCCGTCCTAGAGCGTCGGGAAGCCAAAAAGAGGAGAACCCAAAAATGCACCAAAAACCCAAAGAAAAAATCAATGAATGTTGCCTCTTGGGGCCTTGGAGGCCTCCTGGGATGTTTTGGAGCGATCTTTGGAGGTACGACGGCTTCTTTGGGGTCGTCGTTGACCGTCTTGGGGCTCTCTGGGGTCGTTTCGGGAGCGCGCCGGAACGCTTGGAGCCCTCTGGGGCCGTCTTGGAGCTCTCGTGGGGCTCTCCCGGGTCGTCTGGAGCGATGCCCGAGAGGCCCAGGGTGGGCCGAATTCGTGGGGTGGGGGGAGGCTTTTTCCGGGGTCCCCGGCCCGATGAAAATATATGAATCGGAACATATCTATCTATTTATCTATCTATCTATCTATCTCTATATCTATCTATCTATCTATCTATCTATCTATCTATCTATCTATCTATATCTATATATATATATATATCTCGATCTATCTAGCTATCTATCTATCTGTATATCTATATATATATCTATCTATCTATCTATCTATCTATCTATCTATCTATATATATATATATCTATCTATCTCTATATATATATATATACATATCTATCTATCAATATATATATATATATATATCTATATATCTATCTATCTACCTATCTATCTATCTATATATCTATCTATCTATCTATCTGTATATATATATATATATATATATATCTATATATCTATATATCTATATATATCTTTCTATCTAACTATATATATCTGTCTGTCTATCTATCTATCTGTTACATATATATATATATATATATATATGTATATGTGATTTCGACATCATCGGGCCTCGTGGGCCGTCTTGGAGGCTTCTGATGGGCGTCTCGGAGCGTCGTGGACCATTTTGAGGCCAGCGTGAGGCCGTCTGGGTGACTCCTTGGGCGGTGGAAGCATCTTGGACCTTCGTGGCCCGTCTTAGAGATCATCTTGGACCATCTTGGCCGAATGCGGAGGCCACCTTGGATCACCTTGGCCGTCTTGGAGGTCCTCTTCGGGGAAGGCAAAGAGGGAGGTGATGACTAGGGGGGGGGGGATCTCATGGCGCGGGCCGTGATATTTCCCCAGATTTCATGGCGCCTCATCTTGCTTCATTACGTCCCTGGCCCCCCCCCCCCTTGGGCCGCGCACATGCTGCCGATCATGATTTGCACCCCCCCCCCCTCTTGGACGCCCCCCTCTTGGCCGCCCCCGGCCTCCGGAGTCCGCTTTGCGCGGGAAGACCAACGCGGGCCATGCGTGGCCAGGGGCACCGGTCGAATCCCCAGGGGGAGTTCCAAAGCCACTTGAAATCTAGCACGCCAGGCCCCCCTGTGGCAAGACCACTGGGGGCGGCGGACCGAAGACGCCTACGGCGAATCACCGCCGCCCCCTGCCTTTGTGGAAGCGCCTATGTGGCCGAACGTTGAGGCCGGACCTGCCAAGCCATCGGACCATGTGTTCCCCGAATCGGTTTGAAAAGCCTTCGGGGAACACGTGGGCATCTTGAAGGTCATCTTGGCCGTCTTGAAGGCCTCTTGGGCGATCTTTCGGCGATCTTTGGGGGCTCTTGGGCCGTCTCGGGCCGTCGGAAGGCCGAAAAGAAGGAAATGTCAAATCCGTCAAAAACCTAAGGAAAATCAATGCTGTTTCGCCTCTTCTGGCCTTCCTGGAGGCCCTCTTGGGTGCCTCTTGGGCCCTTTTGGGCCCTTTTGGGCCAGCTTCGAGCCAACTTCGGCCATCTTGGTGGGTTCCTGGCACGTCTGACGCCGTCGGGAGCCGTCTCCTCGGGGGCCTTTCTGAGCCAACGGGGGACCCTCTTGGGACGCTTCGGGGCCGTCTTGGAGGCCGTCTTGGGCGTGTTGGAGGCCATCTTTGGCGTGTTGGAGGCCTCTTGGGCCGTCTTGAGGCCCTCTTGGGGCCATCTTGGAGGCCACTTGGGCCGTCATGGGGCCCTCTTGGGGGCCTCTTGGGCGATCTTGGGGGCCTCTTGGGCCGTCTGGAGCCGTCGGAATGCCGAAAAGAAGCACATTCCAGAATCCTTCAAAGACCGAAGGGAAATCAATGATTTTGGCCTCTACGGGCCCTCCTGGAGGAACTCTTGGAGGCCTCTTGGGCCGTCTGGGAGGCCTCTCGGGGGCCTCTTGGCCCGTCTGGGGCCCTCTTGGACTCTCTTGGGCCGTCTTGGAGGCCGCCTTGGACCATCTTGGGCGGACTTGGAGGCCATCTTGGAGGCCATCTTGGGCCGTCTTGGCCATCTTGGAGGCCATCTTGGAGCCGTCTTGGGCAGAAAATTGGGGAAGTGGGGTCCATGGAAAAAATCCCAGGACCCCGGCGGGACGGGCCGCAACCCACTGGGAGAGTTCTTTTGGAAAAAGAACCAAAACCAAAACCGATAGGGTTTGGCACGCCGGACACCCCTTTGCTGAAGCAAAGGGGGCGGCGGATCGAAGACGCCTACGGCGAATCACCGCCGCCCCCTGCCTTTTTGGAAACGCCGATGTGGCCGAAAGTTGGACTAGAGCTTGGCCAAGCTATCGGACCATGAGTTCCCCGAGTCGGTTTGGAAAGCTTTCGGGGAACACATGGGAGAGAATGATTATGAACAGGAAGAGGAAGAGGAAGAAATAGAGTAGGAGGATGAGGGTTGTTAGGAGTCTCTTGGGGCACCCTTGGGGTCTGTTGGGGGCTTCTTGGGGGCCTCTTCGAGGCCTCTTGGAGGCATCTTGGGGGCCTCCTTGGGCCTCTTGGGGGCCTTTGGGGGCTTCCTGGGGGTCTCTTTGGCCGTCTTAGGGCGTTCCTGGTCCGTCTGACGCCGTCTGGAGCCGTCTTGGGGGCCTCTCTGGGCCGTCTTGGGGCCCTCTTGGGGCGCTTCAGGGCCGTCTTGGAGGCCATGTTGGGCGTCTTGGAGGCCTCTTGGGCCGTCTTGGGGCGCTCTTGGGGCCGT